GAATGGTGTGGTGTACTAGTCACATGGTGAAAACCATATTCTGCAAAATGAAGAATCAGGAATACCACACTTGACTTTCAAAGTTATTATACAAAAGAATCTGCTGCTGGAATGAAGATTGCTAACCTGCCCACATTGGGAATAATTACCTCCAACACGCAGTTAGATTTTCCCTCTGAAATGGAATAAGTTCAGGCCTTTTCCACTGTCGAGCTAAGGGAGTTCATAGTATCAGGTTCAGTCACTACATGACTGCTGGTGAGGCATGCGATTGTAAGATAATCTGTTGTTTAAGGTGATGGACAGGGGAAGGTTAATCAGAGCTAAGCTGAAGCTCCTCACACTCTGATATATAACAGCCAATGTAAGGAGCATCAGCCAGTCTTGGGAAGTTTGACGATTTCTGGGCAGTTGTAATTATTAGACAGTACATTCCCATCAGTACAATATTAACTGTATGTAGTTATTATGGTGGAATAAACTGTATCTTGTTATCGCTGACCATTTGGGTTCTGTCAAGGTCACTGTGCTACTAACTTCATTGCAATCTTCATTCAAACATGGATAAAAGGGCTGAATTTCACAGGTGAGGTGTGATTCATAGCCCTTGACATCAAGGCTATATTTGACTGAGCATGGCATCAAGGAGTCCCTAGCAATTCTGGAATCAATGGGTATAAGGGTCAAACTCTCCGTTGTTTAGAGTCATACCTGTCACACAGGAGGATTGTTGTGGTTGTTGGAGGTCAGTCATCTCAGCTCCAAGACATCTCTGCAGGAGTTCCTCAGGTTAGTGTGTGAGGCCCAGCCATCTTCAGCTGCTTTATCAATGACCTTCCATCCTCCATAAGGTTAGAAATGGGGATATTTGCTAATGATTATAATGTTCAACACCATCATGAATCCTCAGATATTGATGCCGTCCATTTTCAAATGCAACAAGATCTGGATAATATCCAGGCTTGGGCTGACAAGTAGCAAGTGACTTCTATGCCACACAAGTGCCAGGCAATGACCATCACCGTTAGGAGACAATGTAACTATTGCCCCTTGACATTCAACAGTGTTATCATCATTGAATACCATTTGTCAACATCCTGGCATTTATCATTGACCAGAAACTGAACTTGCCATATAAATACAGTGGTTACAAGAACAGATCAGAGGCTTGGAATACTCCAGCGAATAACTCACCTCCTGAGTAGCTATCTCTCCCACTTTCTTTCCAGCTAAATGGGCCTCTGAGGCCGGTGTGTGGCGGTGACTTCCAGAACTGACAATCAATGCCGTGATCAGTGTGCTGATGATGATCACCGTGCACAGGGCCTTGGAGTGGATGCGCACAGAACCACGCAACTTTGAGGGAATTTTGTTCCTGATTCCCAGAAGCCTGTTCACCACCTTTAAGCCACAGATCAGCGTACAATGGAATATTCCCCACTCACCTGGATGGGTGCAGCTGCATCAACACGCAAGAAGCTTGACGCCATTCAAGATAAAGCAGTCAGTTTGTTTGACACTGTAGTAATTGCAACAATGTCAGCCAGGTGGACATCATAGAATATGAGCTCCCTGATTGGGGCTGTGAATCTGGTCCAATCACTGAGCCCTGGCTGACAGAGTCATAGAGTTATAGAGTAATACAGCATAGAAATAGGCCCTTTGGCCCAAACTGCTCCAGGCTGACCATTGTGCCCACTCAGTTAGTTCCAATTGTCCACATTTGGTCCATATCCCTCTAAACCCTTCCCATCCATGTACCTATTCAAATGTTTTTTAATGTTGCTATTGTACCAGCCTCAAACACTTTCCCTGGCAGCCCAATCCATATATGCACCACCCTCTGTGTGAAGAAGTTGCCCCTCAGGTCCTTCTTAAATCTATCCCTTCTCACCTTAAACTATACCGTCTAGTTTTCAATTTCCAATCCATGGGAAAAAAGACTATATGCATTCAACCTATCTATGCCCCTCATGATTTTAAACACCTCAATAAGGCCACGCCTCAATCTCCCATGTTCCAAGGAATAACGTCCTATCCTGGCCAACCTCTCCCTATAATTCAGGTCTACTAGTCCTGGCAACATCCTTGCAAATCTTCTTTGCACACTTTCCAATTTAACTATGTCTTTCCTATAACAGGGTGACCAAAACAATACTCCAAGTGCAGCCTCACCAACGCCTTATGACAACTGTAACATAACATCCCTGCTCCCATACTCAATGCCTCGACTGATGAAAGCCAGCATGCTAAATGCCTTCTTCGCCACTCTGTCCACCTGTGACACTGCTTCCAATGAACAATGTACTTGTACTGCTAGGTCCCCCTGTTCCATAACACTCCTCAGGACCTTACCATTTACTGTATAAGTCCTACCTTGGTCTGACTTTCTAAAATGCAACACCCGACACGTATCTATATTGAATTGCATTTGCCAATCCTCAGCCCACTTCCCCATCTGAATAAAATCCCTCTGTAATTATTTATAACCTTCTTCATCATCAACAATACCTCCTAATTTTGTATCATTCGCAAACTTACTAATCATGCCTTGTACAATCACATCCAGATCATTTATGTAAATAACAAATAACAAAGGTCCCAGCACCGACCCCTGTGGCACACCACTAGTCACAGGCCTCTAGTCCGAGAGACAACCTTCAACCATCACCCTCTGCTTCCTACCATTGAGCCAATTTTGAATCCAAATAGCTAGCTTTCTCTGGATCCCATGTGACCTAACTTTCATGACTAGCCTGCTATGCGGGACCTTGTCAAGGGCCTTACTAAAGTCCATATAGACAACATCCACTGCCCTACCCTCATCCATCCTCTTGGTTACCTCTTCGAAAAAGTTTTGAAGAGTTGTCAGACATGACTTCCTGTGCACAAATCCATGCTGACTATCCCTAATCAGACATTGACTATCCAAATGATGGTTGATCCTGTCCCTCAGTATCTTCTCCAGTAACTTACCTACCACTGATGTCAGGCTGACTGGCCTGTAGTTCCCTAGCTTCTCTTTGCTACCTTTCTTGAACAGTAGAACAATATTAGCCACCCTTGAGTCTTCCAGAACTTCACCAGTGGCTAAAGATGAAGCAAAAGTCTCTGCAAGGGCCTCTGCAATTTCTTCCCTGTCCGACCACAACTTCCAAAGATGGACTTGATCAGGCCCAGGGGTTTTCTCCACATTAATGCGCTTTCTGGCTGCAAACACATCCTCCATAAAAGAAAAATGTTAGAGATTCTGACAACTGACTCTGAAGAGACAGTATCTAAAGTCAAGGACAGGTCATGTGTAATTAAAGGGCGACATGTAGACAGGATACTGGCCTCTGTGGAGTTATTTCAGGCACCACATCCATATACATCCACGCCCTCTGCCCCAAAGCTCAGTAGCAGCATTGTGTACTATCTACAAGATACACTGTACAAATTCACCAAAGCACCTTAGACAGCACCCTCCAAAACTGCAATCAATTCCATCTGGAAGGACAAGGACAGCAGGTACATGGGAACACCATGACCTGTAAGGTGCCCTCCAATCCACGCACCGTCCTGACTTGGAAACATATCGCTGTTCCTTCACTGTCGCTGGGTCAAAATCTTGGAATTCCCTCCCTAATGGCATTGTAGATTCCAGAAGGCATCTCACTGCCACCTTCATCAGAGGCCGTTATGGATGGACAATAAATAGTAGCCCAGTGAGTCTCGTCTGTCCTCTCGACTGGATGGAAAACAGCCCTTGGGTTGATGACAAAGGAGAGCAAGGCAGCTCTCCCTGACGTCCTGGGCAATAGTTATCCCTTAATGCACATCATTAAAACTGATTCAGAGCATCATACACTACAGAAGAATCCATTCAGCCCATCAGGTCTGTGCTGCCAAAAATACACGACCACCTGCATTAGGCCCACTTTCCTACGTTAAGCCCATTGCCTTGAATGCTATGACATTATAAGTGCTCACCAACTACTTTTTAAAGATTGTGAGGCTTTCTGTCTCAACGACCCGCCACTGCCCTCTGGGTGAGAAATGTTTCCTCCAATTCTCTCTAAACCTCCTTCCACTCATTTGAAAATGATGACCCTTTGTAATGACTCTTCGACTAAAGGGAAACAGCAGCTTTCTATCCTCCTGTCCATACCCCTCCGAATCTGAGACACCGAGATCAGGTCCTCCTCCCCCAGCCTTCTCTTCTGCAAAGAAGACAACCTGAGCTAATCCAACCTCTCTTCATAGCTCAAGCGCTGCATCCCAGGCCTGCATTCCCCTTCAGTGCTATCATATAATTCCAATAGTGTGCAGAGACCAGAACTACACACAGTACTCCACCTGTGGCCAAACCAAAGTCCTGTACAGCTCCAGCATTAGATGCCTGCTTTTATAATCTATGCCTTGACTCATAAAAGCAACTGTCAATGGTTGATTGTTAGGTGATTATTATACTGTAGTTTGTGGGATCTTGCTGTGTACACAGTTTCTGCTTCCCTCCTACAATATTGTGGAGGGACCAGTGTTGGACTAGGGTGGATAAGGTCAGAAGTCACATGACACCAGCTAATCATCCAACAGGTTGATTTGTGCTGCTCCGTCATCAGGTGAAATCCTGAATGTGCTCCTTCACTTGATAAAGGAGCAGTGCTATGAAAGCTTGCGATTTTAAATACACCTGTTTGACTATAACCTGGCGTCGTGTGAATTCTGATCTTGTCCGACAATATTGACAGTGACGATGGCTGAGAAAGTCCCGACAGACCATGTTGAATTTTGAGAGTTCCCGAGTTGGGGAAGGGTGTCATGGAAATGCAGCTGCCTCTGCCTTTTCCTCCTGCAGTGAGATATTTTGATGTTAATCTCACTTCTTGCTCTGAGCTGCCTCTCTGACAGTGGACTTGGGGTGCAATGGGTCAATCAGGAAGCTTGAGTGCTCCCATTGCCTCTCCTAGCCCGGAGAGGGAAGTTGGGGCCAGGCTGAGGGAATCGAGATGACAGTTTGCTGAGAAACACTGACCTCAGAGGTTCCAGCTGCTCATGCTCCTGTCTCCAAGAATCACATTCAGAGAACAACACGAACTTCCCATTTCAGGGAGAACAGCCATGGAGGACCAATTCCAGGGACAGTGTCATTGCTGGGGCATGGGGAAAGTTTCAGGGAGGGTCTGTATTGCTGACTCGGTGCAGTCTCTCCAGGATATAAATCAGGAGGTGACAGCTCCCTCCTCATCCACACTCTCCCTTCAACACTGAACACTTGCAAGTTGGGCCAGGCCAAGATGAGGACAGCACTGTGTGTAGCTGCTGTTGTGCTGGGAGCACTGGCAATCTGCTTGATCCAGGACGGTGTTTCTGCTGCACCAGGTAAGAGAGAGGCTTCCTTCTTCCCAATCTTTGCTCAGAACCTGAGATTGAGGAAAATAGGAACAGGTTCCACTGCCCCTGCTGGTTTCCCTCAACTGTGTTACTTTTTGGGGTTAATGTAATGATCCCTCCTCAGTCCATTCAGCAACTGTGGGCCAATGATTCCAAATAGAAATACAACAGAGAGAGAGAGAGAAAGAGAGAGAGCATGTGAGACTACTCAGCCCATCAAGCTGGTACTAGCTCTTTACTAGAGTGATTCAATTGGTTAATCTGTCCTGCTCCGTCTGTCCAATCCCTGTCAATTTTCAATTTCTAGTCATACAGTCATACAGCATGGAAACAGACACTTTGGTCCATATTGTCCATGCCAACCAGATATTGTAGATTAATCTCGTCCCATTTGCCAGCATTTGGCCCATATCCCTCTAAACACTTCCCATTCATATACCTATCCAGATGCCTTTTAAATATTGTAATTATACCAGCCTCCACTACCTCTTCTTGAAGTTCATTTCATATACACACCACCCTCCGGGTGAAAATATTGCCCTTTTAAATCTTTACCCTTTCACTTCAAACCGATGCCCTCCAGCTTTAGGCTTCCCTATCTTGAGGAAAAGAACTTGAATATTCACCCTGTCCATGCCCTTATTCATTTTTAAACTTCTGCCAGGCCACCCCTCAGCCTCTGACATTCCAGGGAAAATAGCCCTAGCTTATTCAGCTCCCCTGTAGCTCAAAACCTCTAACGCTGGCAACATCCTTGCAAATGTTTTTGATCCCTTACAATAACAACAGCTTTCCGAGAGTACGGAGACCACAATTGCATGCAGTATTTCAAAATTGGCCTAACCAATGTCCTGTAAGCCACAACATAACCTCCCAACTCCTGTACTCAATGCACTGACCAATAAAGACAAGTGTACCAAACGCCGACTTCACCACCCTGTCTGCCTGCAACTCCGCTTTCAAGGAAGTATGAAATTGCACCCCAAGTTCTCTTTGTCCGGCAACACTCCCTAGGACCTTACCATTAACTGTATGTCCTGCCCTGACTTGCTTTACCAAAATGCTACACCTTACATTTGTAATGTGGAAATGGCTGCAAGACTTTCCACAAGTACTCAGAAGTCTGAAAGGAGACCTGATGGTGGTTTTGGAAATGTCAAAGGGATTTGATAGACTGGGTATGGGAATGATGTTTCCACTTGTGATAGAGAGCAGAACTCAGAATGATCCATTTAAACAATTCCTAATCGATTCCATTGGGAATTGATGAGAACATTCTGCACCCAGAGAGTGATTAGAAAGTGCACCCTGAGACTGGAAGGAGTGGTCAAAGTGAATAACATTGAGATGTTTTAAAGAGAGACTGGATATACATATGAGGGAGAGATGAATAGCAGGATATGTGGATGGGGTGAGTGAGTTCTGTGCAAGAAGGGTTTGAAACTGCAGCAGGGAATCGATGGGCTGGATGGTCTGTTTGTGTTGTGTGCACTCAAAGTGCTTCTAGATGAAAACGTGGAGGATGAGGAGACTGTTAGTGAGAATGTGCTGTGAATGTGTTCAAGGATTCACCATCTCCATTCCTACTCTTCCTCATTGCAGCTGGCTCTGTGACTATCAATTGCTGTGAGAACTTTAAGACCACTCGCATTCCTCATAAACGGCTCGTAAGCTTCACCAGGACAGTTGGCTGCTCCACTCCCTCCATCATGTAAGTGTTTCAAGGTGTTTTTCTCACCGTCTGTGGAAATGAAAGGTTTGGAGCTTGTACCTGTGTTTCTCTGATAATCATAATCTCATCTGACTCTTTCAGCTTCACAAACAGGAGGAAGATGAGAATTTGTACGAGAGCCAGTGAGAAGTGGGTTCAAAATGCAGTGGCGTTTCTGGAGAAGAAATTGGGGATTGAAAGAGAAGAACCCACTGAAAGTAAACCTTTCAATCCACTGGAAACACGTGGAGTGTTGAAGTGACTGATATTACACTGAGCAACAGGCAGAATGGAGAATCTGTTTGAAGATTGGATCCACAAACTGTTTCTCTGATCATTTGCAATATTCCTGTTTCTGTGCTCATTAAAATGAAAGACTGTGTGCGGTAACTACCTAAATTTCCCCATGTCTACTCCAATCATCAAAATGAGTGAAGACCGTTCACGGTACAGGGGGAAATGTGGTTGGACACCAATGGGAGAGACTGAGGGAACAGCCAGTCTGGTGCAGGACAAGATTCCAGCAAATGTCCAGCTGATCCCAGGTTCATCCCAGAGGCTGGAGCTCAGCACAGACAGTCAGTCCTCACCCTCACTGGGATGTGTTCGACCATCTCCTTCAACCACACTGGGCCAAGGGGTAGGTGGGCATAACTGCAACCCCCACTTTGTTTGCACTGGGGGTGAAGTGAATGACCCGTTGGGGGTTGGGGGTCAGTCTCTAGGGTTGGAAGGATAGGTAAGGTGGTGGGTTGGTCTGTCGGGGTAGGGGCTCTCTGTCAGACTCCCTGAAGAGCCCATTCTAACTCCATTGGTAATCTAGGAATGGTTGTGACTTTTCCCCTTCCTCTCCCTCATTGCCGCACCGAGTTCCCACCTCCTGATCTTTATCCATTGAAAATGTAACAATGAAATAAAGGGTGTTTCTGAAGAAAGATTGTCTCTGGTTTTCCTGTCTCTGAACAGCTTCATTTTTCAGCTTTAGAGATAACAAGGTGTAGAGCTGGATGAACACAGCAGGCCAAGCAACATCAGAGGAGCAGGAAAGCTGACGTTTCAGGTCTGGACCCTTCTTCAGAAATAGGGGAGGGGAAGGGGATTCTGAAATAAATAGAGAGAGAGGGGGAGGCAGATGGAAGATGGATAAAGGAGCAGATAGGTGGAGAGGAGATGGACAGGTCAAGGAGGTGGGGATGGAGCCAGTAAAGGTGAGTGCAAGGAGGCGGGGATGAGGCTGGTAGGTAGGAGGTGGGGGTGGGGGTTGAGGTGGGAGGAGTGGATAGCTGGAAGAAAGGACGGACAGGTTAGGGAGGCAGGAATGAGCTGGGCTGGTTTTGGGATGTGGTCGGGGGAGGGGAGATTTTGAAGCTTGTGAAGTCCACATTGATACCATTGGGCTGCAGGGTTCCCAAGTGAAATATGAGGTACTGTTCCTGCAACCTTCAGGTGGCATCGTTGTGGCACTGGAGGAGGTCCAGGATGGATATGTTGTCCGAGGAGTGGGAGGGAGAGTTGAAGTGGTTCGCGACTGGGAGGTGCAGTAGTTTGTCGCGAACCGAGCGTAGGTGTTCCACAAAGCGGTCTCCAAGCCTCCGTTTGGTTTCCCTGATGTAGAGAAGGCCACATCGGGAACAGTGGATACAGTATACTACATTAGCAGATGTGCAGGTGAACATCTGTTTAATGTGGAAGGTTTTCTTGGGGCCTGGGATGGAGCTGAGGGGGGAGGTGTAGGGGCAGGTGTAGCATTTCCTGCAGTTGCAGGGAAAAGTGCCAGAGGTGATGGGGCTGGTGGGGAGTGTGGAGCGGACAAGGGAGTCACGGATAGAGTGGTCCCTCTAAAAGGCAGATAAGGGTAGGGAGGGAAAAATGTCCTTGGTAGTGGGATCAGATTGCAGGTGGCGGAAGTGGCAGAAGATGATGCGTTGGATCCGGACGTTGGTGGGGTGGTATGTGAGGACGAGGGGGATTCTGTTTTTGTTCTTATTGCGGGGAGGGGGTGTGAGGGATGAGTTGCGGGAAACACGAGAGATGCGGTCAAGGGCATTTTCGACCACTGTGGAGGGGAAGTTGCGGTCCTTGAAAAACGAGGACATCTGGGATGTCCGGGAGTGGAATGCCTCATCTCGGGACCAGATGCGGCGGAGGCGAAGGATTTGGGAATAGGAGATGGCATTTTTGCAGGAAGGTGGGTGGGAGGAGATGTATTCTAGGTAGCTGTGGGAGTCGGTAGGCTTGAAATAGATATCGGTCTCCAGGTGGTTGCCAGAGATGGAAACAGAGAGGTCCAGGAAGGAGAGAGAATATCGGAGATGGTCCAGGTGAACATAAGGTTGGTGTGGAAGGTGTTAGTGAAGTGGATGAACTGTTCGAGCTCCTCGTGGAAGCATGAGGCGGCGCCGAAACAGTCATCGATATAACGGAGGAAGAGGTGGGGGATAGGGCCAGTGTAGCTTCGGAGAAGCAATTGTTCCATGTATCCTACAAATAGGCAGGCATAGCTTGGGCCCATGCGGGTACCCATGGCCACCCCCTTTGTCTGTAGGAAGTGGGAGGAATTGAAGGAGAAGTTGTTAAGGGTGAGGACGAGTTCAGCTGCTTAATTTGGACAAGGGTGTCATTTTTCAACTTTCAGTTTTCTATACAAGAGAAACCAGTTTGAATTTCCCACCAGTTTTCACCTTCACCTTCCATTGTTCACTGCCCATTCATGGAGTAAGACAATGTAAGCTGATTGGCTGAGAATTGGGAAGGAGGGTCAGATAGGAGTTAAACTGTGTTATGAACTGCACGTGTTTTTCAGGAAGCTCTCTGGGAAGGAATGAGCGGAACCACGAACATCATTCCCTTACATAGGACACAGAACAGTACAGCATAGGAACAAGACCTTTGTCTAGTGATTGTAATGAGGTCAGCCAGATGGGCTTCATAGAATATGAGTTCCCTGATTGGGGCTGTTAACCTGGTCCATGTTGCCTTTAGGGAGGGGTGGGCACTGTGTGGGTTAAGTGCTTTATTTCCCCCTTCAACTCGATTTTGATTTAAATCCCTATCCTGGCCCCTTCACTTTGCTTTTCACGTAAGCATTGCCCTTACCAGACTTCGCTTGTTACTGGTTCCTTGGCCACATGCCTGTTTCTCCTGGTGGTGTAAATGTTAAACAAAATTATTTTTCACATGTTTTTTTTACTAAATCCCTGCACTTACACACACACACACACACACACACACAACACGGGTGCTGTGGGGAAAATAGGCTGAGTAGCAGTAGTGTGGAGGTTTATATTAAAAAAATATAAATGGGAGTTTCAAAGATTCTGTTCACACTCAAAGCTGGCTCCGAGGGAGCTGGATCAGTGTCAAGGACATTCATATGTAAATAAAGGATGACTTGATGACAGGATACCAGCCTCTGTGGAGTTATTTCACTTCCATCCATCATGTCTATGCTGACCGTGATGCTGTTCTAAACTAATCCCATCCGGCTGCATAAGGTCTGTATCCCTGTATTCCTGTTCATCTGTCTATCTAAATGCCTCTTAAATGCTGCTATTGTATTTGCTTCTACCACCTACCCAGGCAGCACAATGTTGAAAAGAACTATAGTCCCTCGGGTTTCAGAAAATGTTAGGAGTGGCAGGAAACAAATCTATATAGTTAGATTTAGGTTTGGGGTATATAGGTTGTTGGATTGCCCATTCCTGATCACCCTTGAAGAGGTGGTGGCACATTGCTTTGTTGAAATGCTGCAGTCCTTTGGTGGGAGAGATTAGTTGACGATAATGTTTTGAGCAGGGACCAGTTCCAGACATGTTTTCACAGGGCAGGGTGACATGGCACCTGAAACCCAGCCAAGTGGCTCATTGTCATTAACATGCGTCCTAATTACCCACTGCAAACATCAGCTCACGAGACGATGAAATCTCAGTGTTGATGTGGATTGCAACACAGCTTCACCATTTCATGGACATTGGTGTTACGAAGTACAAGTCAGAAACATCAGGAGACTTTTTGAGATGTTCTCAGATTCTTGCCACATCACCACCAATGTTTGTAGAAACAGAGGAGACAGAAGCAAGTAAGGCCATTCAGACCACCAAATCCCACTCTACCATTGATCATTAACATGGCCGATACTCTATCTCCACACCTTACTCTTGTTCTCTCCCCATGCCCTCAACACCTTTACCCTCTAGAAATATAAGTTTATTTCACAAATATATTGAGCTGAGACATTGGGCACCCAAATCTGCAAGAAGGGGCCGTTCCTACATGGGATCTTCCTCAGATGTATAGTCAGCAGAGGCAATGGAACATAGAGGCAATGGGACACCCAGCAGAACTGGGGTGGGGGGAGGGGGTCACAGTTTAAGGATACGGGGTAGGCCACTTAAGACTGAGATGAAGAGAAATTTCATCACCCAGACAGTGACGAACCTGTTGAATTCTCTGCCACAGAAAGCAATTATCTAATGGTAACAAGGTGTACAGCTGGATGAACACAGCAGGTCAGGCAGCATCAGAGGAGCAGGAAAGCTGACGTTTCGGGTCTGGACCCTTCAACTGCCTCTGATGCTGCCTGACCTGCTGTGTTCATCCAACTCTACACCTTGTTATCTCGGATTCTCCAGCATCGGCAGTTCCTATTAGTTCCAATTATCTAATGAGGTATGGTTGGTATTGCTTATATATTCTGAAGACATGGGCATTGTTGTTTCAGAGTTTCTCTCTACCCCACAGTCCGGTGCCAGTATTATCCTTGGTGACTAATCTGGCTACGTGTTTGGAGTTTAGATTTGCAGGGTCCAGATACACTTAGGTCTAAGGATAAACTGCTCAGTACAAACTCCAGCATAGTCACATTGTACTTCAAACCCCCATCTGGCAGCTCCACATCTCACTGCTTCTCATTCAGCGATTTTAGTAAGACTGGCACTCGGTATAATCATTGCTGGAATGTAAATCTCTCCTGCATTGTAGCCTGATTTGAAAGTTTTCCAGTTGTCATTAGGAGCAGGATCACACATTCCTGTTCCAGTCACGGCTGAGTGGAGCTAGCCCCAGAACACTGCTCTGCACTGCCTCGTTCACTGCTGCTATTCACAGGCTGAGCTATGAAAGATTACCTTCTTGTTGGACTCCTTCTCCTGGACATAGTCCGGATCAGTCATGCTGCAGGTAAATGTCACAGGATTTGATAGTCAGGGAATGGCTTTGTTTTTTAAAAGAGATTGTTTTTGCGGAGTTTTCCTCCAGTCTGCACTTTGAGGTCAAAAGGAAAAACCAGTAAAACTTGGAAATGACAATACTGGAGCAAATGTCTTCCCCACCTCGATTTGATTTGATTTAATTTGATTTATGGCAGTCACATGTAGATAAGTACAGTGAAAAGCTTTGTTTTGTGAGTAGTACAGATCAATCATAGCAAACAAGGACACTTAACACACAAGTCCAGCTCAGGCCAATCTCAACATTCCTATGTGTGTTAGTATTTCTTTTCCTGTCTCTTTTTTGCCCCTATCGAATGAGCAAATATCTTTCCTGGTGAGAGATTGAGCTTGATGGACAGTAAGAACAGCCCCACTCTTGATCATTGTCAAGAAAGCTGGATTCCTGATTACTAAGGGGATGAAAGATTATTGGGGGGTATGCAGGAATGTAGAGTTGAGGTCAAAACTAGATACCGAGCCAGTGAGTCCTGGGTTAGAGAAAGAGGACATTGGCCAGTTTCCTGCTCCTGATCACTGTCCAGTGATCCCTGCATTAGACAGAGGAAATCAGCCAGGGCTGAAGCTTCTGATCACTGTCCAGTGATATTTGGGTTGAGGGTGGGGGTGGGAATGGGAGGTGAGATCAGCTGGGGTTCCTGTTCCTGTCCAGTGTAAAGATGTCTTGTGGCCAGTGATGATTCAATTTAAATATTTTTAAAGTGGAGGTGTATAGTTTTGTTTAAAAATGGGCTGAAACATTATTGGGGATACGCGGGAATATAGAGATAACAAGGTGTAGAGCTGGATGAACACAGCTGGCCAAGCAACATCAGAGGAGCAAGAAAGCTGACGTTTCGGGTCTGGACCCTTCAGAAGATTCTTCCATTTCTGAAGAAGGGTCCAGAGCCGAAATGTCAGCTTTCATGCTCCTCTGATGCTGCTTGGCCTGCTGTGTTCATCCAGCCTTACACCTTGTTATCTCAGATTCTCCAGCATCAGCAGTTCCTACTAGCGCAGGAATATAGAGTTGAGGTTAAAATCAGATCAGCCACGATCTTATATGTGGAGCAGGCTTGAAGGGCCGAATGGCCTACTCTTGTTCCTTGTTTATAAGTGAATGGAAGTGTAACAATTTAGCTCATTTGTGGCGAATCAGCATCTAACATATCAAATATTATTTTAGATATAAATCCATCAGCATATCCATCGATACAGTATGGAAGCAGGCCATTCAGTCCAACAAGTCTGCTGTGACCCTCTGAAGACTATCCCACCCAGACTCAGCCCCCCATGATACCCACCCCACCCCATCCCATCCTTGTAACCTGCATTTCCAATGGCTAATCCATCTAACCTACACATCCCTGGACACTACGGGCAATTTAGCACAGCCAATCCACCTAACCTGCACATCTTTGGACCGTGAGAGAAAACCAGAGCACCCGGAGGAAACCCATACAGACACGGGGAGAATGTGCAAACTCCACACAGACAGTTGCCCAAGGTTCTAATTGAACCCGGGTCCCTGGCGCTGTGAAGCAGCAGTGCTAACCATTGAGCCACCGTGCCGGCCCTATTTTTAAGAAACCTGGTATCTGATGATTAGGAATGTAAACACCTTTTGAATTACAAGTAGGATTGTTACATGTGAGCGGTTGGACTTTCACACTACAGTATTTTCAACAGTTTTCTCTGAGTGTGCACAATAGTTGTTGACAGATTTAGAACTGTTTCATTTTTGATTCTTCTCTTCTTTCTTGTCTTCTTTTCGTCTCTATTTCTCTTTCAGTACCTGGTTTCATTTCAGTTCTTTCTCTTTCCCATTTCTTTCTCAATCCTTCAATCTAACAAGATACATGTACGATGTCTCCACAAAGTCTTTGATGTTACCCTTACTATCAGGACTCTGGGTGTCTGTTCCATCAAAAACAGAGCAACAACGGAGATTTCTGAGTTTCAGGTGGGAATTGGCTCCCAGAACTGACTCCCTGTTGTATTTTGCTCAATGCTGCTATTGTATGTAGTCAAATACTCAACCAACAGCTTCTATCGCTGTGCCAGAGCTGATAGCAGGCTGTACAACTTAGCAGGACTCTGCACCAAGACGAAAGTGTATTATATCCCAGTACAGAAATTGTGTTTGCCAGTGATGCCACTGTGGCACCCCATACTCGAGGTCACTTGGGTCTGTAAAGCATTTAGACTGATAATCAGTGCCAGGAAGACTAAGGGGATGTACAGTCTCCAGCTTCCATCAGTACTGATATCAGTCATAGAAGTCTATGGCACAGGAAAAGGTCATTCAGTCTATAAGTCTGCATCGGTCAAAACCTCCGAACTATTCTAATCCCATTTTCCAGCACTTTAGCCCATAGTCTCGTATGCCTGAGAATCACAAGTGTGCTTGTAAATATATTTTAAATGTTGCGAGGGTATCTGTCTCTACCGCCTCTATAGGCAGAGAGTTCCAGATTCGCATTACCCTCTGGTGAAAAACATTCCTCCTTGCAACTCCTCTTAACCTCCTGCCCCTTCTCTGAAATCTATGCCCCCCACCCCAGTCATTGATCCCTCCACCAAGGGGGAAAAAGTTCCTTCCTTCTCTGCCCCTCAATTTTATACATTACGCCAATGGTCATTGACAGCTTCAATCCCCAATGACCAGAACCTGCCTCTTGACGCTGAAATCAACATCAGGATTACCAAGGCTGTCGTTTCCAAGTCAAGAAATCGCAGATCACCTCTCATAATACTAATCCCAAAGGAAACATTTCCCGTCCTGTCCAGCCATTTTCTTAAAGCTAACATATCCAGTCATTCCCCCTTAACCCTTGCTGCCCAGTTGCTCCCTGTGATCCCAATCTGATCTATTGTTCAATGTAGCTCTAAATTGTGTTGCAGTACCCAGAATTGCACTCAGAGCTCCATCTGTGATCTAGCTGGTGCTTTATACCGGACCAGTGCAACTGACTGTCATATTTGCGGCCTCTTCTAATAGGGGCAAATGTTCATGTGAATTTGTGATTGTCTCATGGATCTGTATTGTAACCTGGTTCATGCACCCCAAATATATTCCTCATTTTTCCAGACCGGACTCCATTTCACACTATTCCAACTACATGACCAGTCCTCTGATCATTTTCTCCTTCACAGTCAAAAATCCTGTAATCTGTTTGAATTTTCTGACTTGCAGATTGCAAGGACAAGTTGAACTAATGGCAGACACAATGAATGACCTCACCCCAGCCCTACACTGATTGACGCAATGATTGATATATCACAAAGTGTGTAAAGGATTTTGGAAGTTCAGAGCCAGTGCTGTTTCATTAGAAGTCATTTGCTTACAATCAACTAAAGTAACTGCTCCCAACAATCCTCCACCACTTTTAATATCGGAAATATTCTTTATCCACAGAGATTCAGAGCGCTCTTACACCTGAAGAAGGACACACTGACAGCTCCAAAGCAATGCCAGACTGCTCACCCCCTGGTGTCCTGTAAGTTGTTGGTAGCAGGATATGATGAACACTGGGCTCATGTTGTGGGCCCTGAACAAATGGGAAATGTACTGAACAAGCTAGCAAACCATATTTGTTCACACAGACTCTCAATCACAGGTATCAACCTGCTCAAACAATTCGCTAAGGTGAAAATGATACTGATCTTCAGGATTTCAGGGGTCTGAACACACCATTCAAGAATGTGAAACTGTGATGGGGCTTGCCAAAGTGCCAAAAGTGATAGCCCAGGCATTGGTCAACAGTATACAGTCAGCACAGTGCACTGCAGGATTAGGTGGCTCCTGAGGCATAATGTAAATGACATGAATCACTGAGCATTCACATACAGGTCAGAGAGTACTGATCGATGAGACCTTCAAGGGTTCAGGGAGGAAAGTGGAATGAGGGTACAGTTGGATCAGTCACAATCATTAATTGTGAAGGCGAATGGAATGTTGGCTTTTATAGCAAGTGAGTTGGAGTACAAAAACTGCACCACTAATGTCCTTCAGGGAAGGAAACTGCCATCCTTACCTTGTCTGGCCTATGTGACTCCAGACCCACAGCAATATGGTTGACTCAACTGCCCTCTGGGCAATTAGGGATGGGCAACAAATGCTGGCCTAGCCACATCCTGTGAATGAATAACGAACAAGTACTAGACTGTGGTCAGACTGCACTGTTTACTGTTCTAATCTGCAGACTTGTGGGGGGGTCAGCACGGGATTAGATACAGAGTAAAGTTTCTTCTACACTGTCCCCATCAAACACTCTGTGGATGGGTACAGCTTGGGATTAGATACAGAATAAATCTCCCACTATGCTTTTAAACTGAAAGTGAAGCTATTTCTATACTGTCCACAACAAACACTCCCAATAGTACTTTGCAGGAATGCTTAGGAAATTGGTGTTCAATGGTGGAGACCCCAGAGTAGCTAATTCCGGTTCACAGTGGAGATTTTACCATGTGTTAAACTGACCTCCTGTCACATTATAACCTCTCTGTTCTCTGCTCAGCTTCAAGACAACAGGGGGTTTGGAGATCTGTGTTGACCCAAAGGAACTGTGGATGCAAAAAGCGCTGGACATTCTGAAGAAACAGTTTCGACAGCGTTAGATGCAGGGGTCATGGAGAAAGTGCACAAAGCAGTGAATGTGGACCTTGTCATGATTCAGAAGGTCATGGCTCACACATTAACAATAACACTGGAGAACTGATGAATCACCGCACACTCACACGAGCTGGCCACCATCCCTTACCAAGACTCAGTTCTTGGTAAACTAGTTCATTGTTGGCCTTTCTGTCGTATTTATCTCATTTCTTGTTCAATAACCAATAACTGAGCTAGCTTAATAATCTGGAATGTTTCTCTATCAGCAAACAATAAAGGCAGCTGCACTATCTTTTGCAGACAGTCATGACTCATTATCACGCAAACTGTTCCAAAACAACTCACAGTCACATAAATACTGCAACTGAAGGATCAGGTCAGAGGCAAGAAATCCTGCAGCGAGGAACTCACCTCCTGACTTCCCAAAACCCATCCACGAAGTACAAGTCAGGAGCCAGTCCACAACCTGACTCGGAATATATTACGAGACAACAAGGTGCAGAGCTGGATGAACACAGCAAGCCAAGCAGCATCATAGGAGCAAAAAGGCTGACGTTTCGGGCCTAGACCCTTTTTGCTTTTTGCTCCTATGATGCTGCTTGGCCTGCTGTGTTCATCCAGCTCTGCACCTTGTTGCCTCGAATTCTCCAACATCTGCAGTTCCTACTATCTCGGAATATATTACCATCCCTTCAGTGTCACTGGGTCAAATTCCTTGAACTTCATTCTGAACAGCATTGTAGGTCTCCCTCCAGTGGTTCAAGAAGGCAGTTCACCATCAGCGCAATTATAATGGCAATAAATAGCGTGTCACTCAGCCAGCGACACCCACACCCCATAAATGAATAAACAAGGCAGCCTTTTCAGTACCGATTGCTGGGACCTGACCAGTAAAAGGCACATTTGAAAAAAAAAAGAGCCAGCTCCATCAAATTAGAGGACAGCAACAGAAGCTGACACTCATTTAATAGCAGAGTATACAGAGAAAAATAAATCAGCACCAAAATCATTCAACTTACACAGCTCCAGTGAGAGAACAGTGAAACATGTCACATTTATTCCTCTGGTGTCAGAAAACACTTCACACAAATTACAAATAAACCTGTTGGTCAGAATGGGACTGCCAAATCCATCTGAACGTACCCGATTCAAGGCAGAGTTCAATCACTCTGCTGGAAACAGAAGAACAAACAGCCCAGAGTTCAGTTCAGAGAGAACATCTATCTCAAGATTGCAATGCAGTGAAACACACTGCGTCACGACACGTCAAATCCCACTCGAAGCAAGTCAGGCGTCGGTGAGAGTCTGGTCAGCTAACAAGATCTTTTCACCAGGTTTAAAGGCAGGCATCCCCATGTAAGGGCAGCTGGCACAACGAAACGCATCACCAAGGTAGCACTACAACAGACAACGGAAGCAATGTTATTGTTGTCTTGAACTCAAAAGGCAGGACAGACAACAAACATAGCGCCAAGGGAATACACTAACTGGGAGCAGGGGAGCGAAAGAGCGCGCGGGCAAGAACGAGAGACAGCACACGGGAGCGAGAGAGAGAAAGCGAGAGACAGTGCATTCGAGTGAGACAGAGAGTGAGAGCGAGAGCGAGAATGAGAGCACACACGAGAGTGTGTGAGAGCGTGAGAGTGCACATGACAGTGCGAGCACGAGAGAGTGAACATGAGGGCCCTGAGCGCAAGAGAGTGAACACGAGAGCGAGCGGGCGTGTGAGAGAGAGAGAGTGAGCATGAGCGCGGGCGCGAGAGAGAGAGAAAGTGAGCGAACATGAGAGCGAGAGCGAAAGCGAAAGTGAACGACAGCCCCGAGCGCACGACAGTGAACATGAGAGCAAGCGCACGCGAGAGAGACAGAGTAAACATGAGAGCGAGCGCCAGAGACAGCATGAATGTGAGAGAGAGGCATGTGAAATAGACATGAGCAAGCCTTACCTGTGGGAAATTAGGGATGGGCAAGAAATGCTGGCCCAACCAGCAATGCCCACATTCTATGAACATATTTCTTCCAATGCTATTTTGTCTTATCATCAATGATGTTGACTACTCCCTCATTAGCTATAAAGGGGTAAACAGTGTAGTCAACACACAGTTAACATCCTGGGACCTTATTTTTACTATCAGAATATAAACAGAGCATGGCTGCAGAGCTCAATAAAATAGACATAGTGAGGGCTTAACGCTGGGAAACTTTTCAGTCTAACCAAAGACAAGCCTGTGACTACACTGCCAAAGTTGTGCTGATGAATACATGGCCCCATTCACTGTGAAGATTATTAGTTCAAATGTGGCTTTCGGCAGTTTGCAGCAGTTTTTCCTTGGCAACTGAAGCACAAGCATGTTCCAAATAGATAAGCAGTATCTCGTGAATACTTCCAACTGAGAGGCAGAATCAGTGATCCCCAGATAAACTCAGACAGTGGTTAGATGAAAAAGCACTGGCAACATTTTAAATAGATCTCAGGCAACCTCTTCACATTAACAGGATGACTGCTGCTGTGTTCAGGTTCCTGCCAACATGCTAATACTCACACTTCCACACGACGATTTCACCTGCAGTTTCTTAACATCTGTGGATCCTTTCCCGTCCAGTTCTTCAGCCAGGCCACATGTACTGAAACACAGGGACGGTCAGCTACATTTCAAACAGACTCACCAAAAGAGTTAAAACATCAAATATACATCAGTAACCTCACTCAACATGCCCTGAGAAGCCTCCAGAATCACTGTCAACATGCATAGAGACACCTCTATAATATCACACTACATGCCCCGATACACCTCCAGAAACACGCTCCACATGACTTTATACAACGCTATGACCACACTCAATATGCTCTTCAGTATACACTTCAGTAACTACATTCAACGTGCTTTTATATACATCCATGATCACACTCAACATGCCTTTATACAGCTGCAGAATCATTCAGCATGCCCTGATCTCATTCTGATGGGGGTGTGAGATATGGATCCGTTTTTATCAGTGTAACCTGAAAAGTTGCAGGGTTCTGACTGTTTTTACTTGTGTAAATGTGACGGAGTGTGTGACATTGTCAGGTTACACTGGGAAGAACTGGTCAAAGTGTGAGACACTGACCAGTTCTTAGTGTAACCTGATGGAGTGAGAGACACTGACCAGTTCTTACAGGCCCGTTTCTTTTTCTTGCCGTCTCCACAGTCCATAGCTCTCAGCGAGGCGGGATCCGGTTTCTTCAAATCATCTTCATCCAGCAGTTCATCAGAATCAATAAGATCCTAAGGAAAGGTAGGGAGAGATGGCTCAATTGTGACTCTGCCTATTATGCAGGCTGTGTGCCACAGGCAGAGTGTTTACCTATACATAAGAAATAGGGGCAGGAATAGGCCATCTGGCCCATTGAGTCTGCTCCACCATTCAATAAGGACCACGGCTGATCTTTTCATGGACTCAACTCTACTTACCTGCCTGCTCACTGTTACCCTTAATTCTTTTACTGTTCAAAAACGTATCTTTGCCTTAAAAACATTCAATGCGGTAGCCTCAACTGCTTCACTGTGCAGGGAATTCTTCAGATTCACAACCCTTTGGGTGAAAAAGTTCCTCCTCAACTCAGTCCTAAATCTGCTCCCCTTTATTTTGAGGCTATGCCCCCTAGTTCTAGTTTCACCCACTGTTGGAAACAACCTCCCTGCTTCTACCTATCTACTCCCTTCATAATTTTGTGTTTCTAGAAGACTCCCCCACCCCACCTATTCTTCTAAATTCCAATGAGTATAGTCCCAGTCTACTCAATCTCTCTTCATAGGCCAACCCTCTCAATTCCGGAATCATCCTAGTGAACCACCTCTGCACCGCCTCCAGTGCCAGTATATCCGTTCTCAAGTAAGGAGAACAAAACTGTACACAGTATTCCAGGTGTGACCTCACTAGCACACTATACAGCTGCAGCAGTATAACAATGAAGGACAATATTCTATTTGCAGCCTTAATTACTTGCTGCACCTGCAAACTGACTTGTGTGACTCATGCACAAGGACACTTGAGGGGGAAAAGTTTAAGGGAGATATGCGTGGAAAGTTCTTTACGCAGAGGGTGGTGGGTGCTTGGAACGCGTTGCCAGCAGAGGTGGTAGAGGCGGGCATGATAGCGTCATTTAAGATGTATCTAGACAGATACATGAATGGACAGGGAGCAGAGGGATACAGATCCTTGGAAAATAGGTGATAGATTTAGACAGAGGATCTGGATCGGTGCAGGCTTGGAGGGCCGAAGGGCCCGTTCCTGTGCTGTAATTTTCTTTGTTCTTTTGACACTCAGGTCCCTCTGAACAGCAGCACGCTGCAATTTTTCACCATTTAAATAATAGTCCATTTTACTGTTATTGCTACAATTCTACATTCCTAGCTGTACATGTAACAGTCTGTGGACAATCCTCCCAAAGTATAATCTTCCTTTCTCAATGAATTAGAACTGAGAACAGTATTTCCAGCCTCTCTGATACTTCAATATTCACTGTTTGGTTATGAAAGATACTCTTTGTGACAAATTTTTGGGGTCTGGTGATAGCCCAGGTAACAGCTCCCTTCCTTCCCCTGCAGCTCCGCCATGATCCTAGTGTACACCACATTTTGTGAAAGTAACTGTGGGATTCTTTCTTTCTTGTCAAGGTATGGGCAGTACTGGTAAGAGGGGCATTTCTTAGCTGCTATGAGCTGTTGCAATGCATTTTGATGCTGAGGAACTAATTGGGTTGATTCAAACCCATGCAGGTGTATGCCAGACAGGATAGAATGGAAGATTTCCCTATTTATTGAATTCCCTTTTGCAAGCTGTGACTCAATCTGTCCTCACCCTCACCCTCACCCTCACCCATCGTTCTCTGCCAATTATCCTAAAAATCTCTCATTTGGTTCCCAAACCTCCTACCAGTTCAAACAACCTTCTCATTCGCTCTATCAATACCTGTGGTTGCAGGAAGCAGCATTATTAAACCTCCTCTGCTCCAGGAACAATTCCAGCTTCTCCATGCTCTCTATGCAAACAGACTCCAAACTATTTAAACACAGCTCTAGTTATTGTAAAGGGAATGGAGGAAGGTTTTGCTAAAACTATACAAGGTATAAATCGGATCACAGTTGGGATTCAGTGGACAGCTCTGGGCATCTTCTCTAAGGAAAGATATCGAGTTCAGATTGACTCAGAGCTCTCTTCCCTCTGAATCAGAAGATTGAGAGTTCAAGTCTGCACTGGAACCAGCTGTGAAGCTGCTCCTTCTCAGTGTTGACTTCAGGGCCTTCCTGGGCCAGTGCTGACGTCAGGGCCTTCCTGACTGTTTCTAGCTTGAGGGGGAGGGGTGATTACCACAAGCTCAACTGAATGCTGTAAAACATCCTATGGCCTGCCACTGCGGAGGGCACAGCACTGACAGTGGCCATAAAGGTTAGTGAGGGGCAGCACCATTGTTAGACCCCTGTACTTTGGCCTCAAGGGATAGGAGTTTGGACCAGGCATTCCTGCTCCCCCGGAAAAGCTGAAGCACAGGACAACAGGTGGGGTTTAGAAGAAGTAATCTCACCACATCGTCGTCATTCATGTCAATGGCTGAAAGGGTCCAAGCCTTCTTCGTGTTGGGGTCCAGCTGCGGTTTCTCTGTAACATCAAATTTCAAGTATGAACCTAAACACACAGTCATGGCTCACCCATTGCCAGCAGGTGGCCAACTGCAGTGACCCAGCAGCAGTAGACAGTCACCGTACCAACTCCTACACATTCAAGCTGCACAAACCCAGTAGAGAGCAAACCCTACACAGTAAAATGCTGAAAATACTCAGCAAGTCTGACAGCATTGATAAAGATAGAAACAGAGTTAACCTTTCAGGTTGGGAGCCTTCATCAACACTAAGTGAGAGACGTCTTAGTTTTAATGCTGGTGAAACAGGGAACGTGGAAAAGAGAAGTTCTGAGGTAGTGGGGAGATAGCAGAGACTAGCCGACTAAAGAGCTGATAGGACTGAGCTCAAGTGAGTGGCAAAGGAACAACTAAAGAAATAAAAGCTTCTACCCAGAGGAAGTGTGAATGGCAGAATGACAGTCTGACAGAAAATGAGAAAACAGGAGTAAGACTGAAAGCTGCAACACAACAAGGTAGCTAACCTGCAGTGGGGCAGAGATTACTGTCCGAAGTTGTTGAACTCAATGTTGAGCTCAAGAGATGCAATCAGGTGCTGTTCCTGGGGCTGACGTTGCGCTTCCCTGGAACTGTGCAGCTGACCATGATCATAAATGTGAGAGCAAACTGGAGAATTACATTCACAGGCGACTGGAAGATCAGGGTGATCTCACAGACTGGGTGGAGGTCTCTGATAACAGCCACCCAGTCTGCGATTATTCTCCCCAGTGTAGTGGAAGGAACGTTGTGAACATGGGAAACTAGATTGAACAATGCACAAGTAAATCAGTGTAACACGGAAGGAGTGTTTGGTATCTCAGACAGACGGGAGAGAGAGGAGTGCTTAATGAAGACACTGTAGAGGCAGCTTTACTCTGTATCTAAACCATTACTGCCCCTGTACTGGGAGTGTTTGAGGTGGATAGTACAAAAGGCAGCTTTACTTGCAGCTTAAAAAAAATAGAGAAACTTAAAAGGAAGGAAATATGTAACTCCTTGCTGATACTGTCTGGGGAATGTTTGATGGGAACAGTGTCGATAGAGCTTTACTTTCAATTTAAATGAGTAAAAGCTTTTTACTTTCAGGCTAAAAGAGAAGATGGAGCTCTACTCTATTCTTTCAGTTTAAAATAGCAGAAGGAACTTTACTCAGTATCTAATCCCATACAATACCTGTGTTTGCTGGGAACAATGTAAAAGGAGCATTATTTTCAGTTCCAAAGGTGTAGGAAGCTTTCCTGTCAGTTTAAAATAGTACAGGACACTTTACCCTGCATCTAACTATTGTATCTACCGTTGGAGTGTTTGATGGGGCAGTGTACTGACTCCTTTACCTTCAGTTTAAGACAGCATAGGTAGGTTTACTCCGTACTTAAGCCTGTGCTATCTCAGCCCTGGAAGTGTTTGATGGGTACAATGCAAAGGCAGCTTTATTCTATACCCAATCCCCATGCTGTACAAGTCCTGAGAGTGTTAGATGGTGGTTGTCTGCATTTAAAACTGTTTGAGCTCCCTGTGTTTTTGAAAGCGTTGGGAATATTTCCTGCTGTGCTGCACGATGTATGGTGAGATGTGAGTGCAGCATCAGGTCCTGCTGGGAAAAGTGGAGTGGTGCTGGACCGTCCATGTCAGCAGCTAGACAGACAAGAAACAGAAAATGTGTTTTTATTTAATTCCATTGACGTGTGCATCAATGACAAGGCTGTATCTAACTGCCTCCACCACAGCACAGACCAGCAAATAACCACACTCTAGCGAGAGTTGTCCCCAGGTAGTACAGCAATACTTACCATCCACCGTTTTCGATTTCGTGACAAACGATAGTTTCAGTTGAGCAGATGACCCAATTTCAAAGTCTGGCTTCTTCGCCCTCAACATCACCTTAGTCAAATCATTACCCTTGTAGTCAACAAATTGTTTTATAGAATTCAGTTCTTCATCTGTTAACGGGTCAGACTGTATCTGTGAAGAAGCAGAGTTCATGGATTCTGTTACTGCCACTACCACCCAAATGAATAAACCCAACATGAAGCAGAGATAGCCCAGTATCGCGTGTGGCCCTCATCCACCCTCAACACAAAGCGGCCAGCTGGGTAAGGTGTGAGTTGCTGCAAGGGTAAAAGGGGGTGCCCAAGAAATGCAACAAGTCTATGGCCTTGCACGACATGTGCCCCTGCTGCCAAGTGAAGGCGAAAAGAAGAACAAGAACACTTGGATAATCTCAGAGGTCAAGCAGCTTCGTCTCGAAGACCTTGCAGCTGAATGTTGAATGCAGAGGCTGTAACGTGCCCAGGCTTGGGCCCCATGTCTCCACGCATGCTGGCATGAGGCCGTACTGGCCTGAGGTGCCACTGGCACCGGGTCCAAAACCAGGAATAGCCTGAGCCTTCAGAGTTATTGGAAACTAAGTTGACTGCGGCCAGTCCCAATTTGGGATTCCTCCAGTAACTAAATACTGTGAATGCTGAAAATCTGAAACAAACGCAGAATGCCAGAGAAACTCAGCAAGTCTGGCAACATCTGTGGAAGAGATAGAGAGTTAATGTTTCGAGTCTGATATGACTCTTCTTCCCTGATCTGGAGAAAAGTCATACTGGACCCAAAAATGTTAACTCTGTTTCTCTCTCCACAGATGCTGCCAGACCTGCCGAGTTTCTCCGGCATTGTCAGGGTTTCCTTCCCTGACAGCCCAGCTTTCCATGTCTCTTCCCCCGCCTCCCCACTACCACCATGACCCTGGGGCTTCTCCTCATCCACTTCTGGCACCCTCCCTCTCCGCTCCAGCCCTCCGCCCCCTCCCGCCTCTGGCCTGCTTTTCGACCCCAGCATCCCACTCCCTCTCATCCAAACATGGTCTCCCTGCTCTCTCCGCTGTCGCTGTCACCCTCACCCTCCGACTGGGGTGATTTGTAGTGACAGATGAAGTGGACTTATTTACCTCAGTGATCTCTGTAAAGCCTGCAAGTTTTAGGCTGGAGGTGAGCTGCGAGCCAGTCTTCAGTTTGGAGTTACCTAAGGCAGACACAAGAGAACAGTAGATCAAGAGCATTTTTTTTTTCACTATTCATTCACAGGACATGGACATCACTGGCCATCCCTAATTTGCCCAGAAAGCAGTTGAGATTCAACCACATTACTGTGGGGTCTGGAATCACTTGTAGGCCAGACTGGGTAAGAATGGTAGATATCCTTCCCTAAAGGACATTAGTAAACGAGATAGGTTTTTCTGACAACTGACAACAGTTTCATAGTCATTAGATTTGGGTGGCACAGTGGCTCAGTGGTTAGCACTGCTGCCTCACAGCGCCAGGGACCTGGGTTCGATTCCACCCTCGGGTGACTGTCTGTGTGGAGTTTGCACATTCTCCCTGTGTCTGCGTAGCTTTTCTGCAGGTGCTCTGGTTTCCTCCCACAGTCCAAAGATGTGCAGGCTAGGTGTATTGCCAAGCTAAATTGCCCGTAGTGTCCAGTGATGTGTAGATTAGGTGGGTTATAGGGGGATGGGTCTGGGTGCGATGCTCTGAAGGTTGGTGTGGACTTGTTGGGCCAAAGGGCCTGTTTCCACACTGTAAGGGTTTTATGAATGAATAGATTCTTTTAGGATTGGAATCAAATTCTACCATGGTGGAATTTGAACCCAGTTCCCCAGAATATTACCTGGGTCTATGGATTAAAAATCTAGTGATAATACTATTAGGCCATCGCCTCCCCTCATGAGCCTGCTCTGTGCTAACATCACTGTCTCCAGTACCTGACCAAGGTAGATTGACCATTTTGTTACACTGAGCAGTGAAACACAGAGGCAGAGGGAGATGACTGTTACCTGTCAGCAGGGCATCACTGCTCAATGCCCCTGATGTGTCCACTTCAGGCCCATCTGCCACCCAGCAGAACCCAGTGACTGGGATATATTTGGAGTTTCAGTAAAGACAGGAGCAGACTGTGAGGTTTCCCATGCAGCCAACCAGCCCTTCAATGTGCTCAGATATCACCAGCTTTAGGAGAGAAGGGACTGAGAGTCACATTGGAGACAGACCTCAGTGAATTCTCCAACTGGACCTTTGTCTGCCTCAGACTGGGCAATGAGAGCTGACACTGGGCATTGCCTCACCATCTGGCATGAGGAAGTACGAGACCAAGTAACCAGTGCCACCAAGTTCAGAGCATGAACACACACCAGTTGTACCAGCTAAGTTCACTGCATCCTACTGGTTTTCAAGCACACAGTGAATGAGTTCTGGGGCCCACACTGATACCAGTGCATTGGTACATTAGGAGTCAGTACAAAGGGATGGCATCAGAGGTTCCTCACTTTCCTTTCTATCAGAGACTCGGTGAGGTGCACAAGTGACAACAGACACTCGGGAGACAACCAAGGCATCGGGTGTCAGTCAAACAAACCTCAGCTCAAAATACTTGTGCTGCTGACACATATTCCTCTTTTCTCAAATGACAGGGCCCTCAATCACATTCATCCCATTTCCCACACTTCTGCGGTTAAGCCCCCTTCCTCTCAGAACCATGACAGGTCTCCTCCCTTGTCCTTACATTCCTCTATATCAGACTTTATATCAAGAGATCATGTTCCATAATTTCCACAATCGTCAGTAGGATGCGACCACCAAACACATCTTCCCCACCCCACCTCCCGTTAACATTCTGAAAAGGACCATCTTTAACTCACTTGTTAACTATCTTAAACATCCTGTCCTCTTCGCTCAGTGCTTTCCCATGTGTTACACTAGTTGCCCTTTCACTCCCTCCTTCCTCACTATCCAAGGCCCCAAACACATCTCTCAGAAGAAACAGTGATTTGCAAGTATTTCTTTCAATCTCTTAGACTATACTTGCTACTCACAACGTGATTCTCCCTACACTGAGGCCAAACACAGACTGGGTTTTCAGGCTGATTGAAGGTCTTTCTGAAAGTGTCTGTCACCTTTCATGTTAGCTGCAAGCCTCTTCACATATTTTCTTTGTTTCTCTTATTTGCCTTTACACGTCCCCTCTGAACCTTTCATAATCATCCTGGTCCTCATTTGTATTTGTCTGGTGTCATAAGCAATTGTTTTCTTCTTCATCTTAGTTTGTTTGTTTCTTTATCACGGTAGCTCTGGATTTAGGAATAGATCTGGACCCTGCCCCAACACACTCTTCTTCAGAGGGAGTCCATTACTCATTTACTGTTTTGCCTGCAAATCTAAGATTCTAATTTATTCAAGGTTCATTCTTACCCCACTGAAGTCAGCTGTTCCCAGTTAGTATTCTTACTCTGGATTGTTCTTTGTTTTTTTTTTCAGTTACTCCAAACTTTTCGTTAAATGATCAGTATTCCCTAAACTTTCATCTACTGTCACTTAAGCTTGATCTAAATGGCCCACTTCATTGCCGAGAATCATGTCTAGAAACTCTTGCCTTCTTAGCGTTTGTGCAAAAGGCAATCTCCATCTACATTCAAGAAAGTAAGTCTGAAAATGTGTTCTCCTATGCCTTTTCCACTAGTTGGTGATCTATAGACTACACCAAGCAAAGTAACTGCACCTTTTTTTATTGATTAGCTCTACCCAAATTAATTCTGTCCGTGGTCTTGCTAAGACATCCTCCTTGTCCAGTACTCTTCTGAATCATGACGGTCATTTCCTATCCTTCCTGAACACCCTGTATTCAGGAATATTTAACACCCAGCTCAGAACTTCCTTGAGCTAGGTTTCTTATCATCACAATAGCAATTTTCCACATGGCAATCTGTGCTTCTGACTCCCCAGTCTTATGTAGATCATAGATCATAGAATAGCATCCCTACAGTGTAGAAACAGGCCCTTCGGGCCAACAAATCCACACTGAATCTCAGAGCATCCCACGCAACCCATCCCCCTTAACCCACCTAATCTACACATCTCCGAACACTGGCATGGCCAATCCACCTAGCCTGCACATCTTTAGACTGTGGGAGGAAACCGGAGCAGACAGAGGGAGAATGTGCAAACTCCACACAGACAGTTGCCCGAGGCTGGAATCGAACCCGGGGCCCTGGCGCTGTGAGGCAGCAGTGCTAACCACTGAGCTACCGTGCTGCCCTAATGTACTTTACTGTATGTGCCCAGTAACCCTGATTTAGCCTTGGTTAATTTCTCTTTTATTTTGATGCACCTCTAAACACTACTCTCTATTCTAGAGCTATATTAGATAAATGTGAGGTGCTGCATTTTGGAAAGGCAAATCAGGGCAGGACATACACACTTAAAGGTAAGGTCCTGGGGAGTGTTGCTGAACAAAGAGACCTCGGAATGCAGGTTCATGGTTGCTTGAAGTTGGTGTCGCAGGTAGACAGGGTAGTAAAGGCAGGGTGTTTGATATGCTTGTGTTTATTGGTCAGTGCATTGAGTATAGGAGTTGGGAGGTCCTGTTGTGGCTGTACACGACTTTGGTTGGGCCACATTTGGAATACTGCATGCAATTCTGGTCTCCCTGCTATAGGAAGGATGGTGTGAAACTCGAAAGGGTTCAGAAAAGATTTACAAGGATGTTCCTAGGGGCGGAGAGTTTGAGCAATCGGGAGAGGCTGAATAGGCTGGGGTTATTTTCCACAGAGCATTGGAAGCTGAGGGGTGACCTTTTGGAAGTTTAAAAAATCATACAGGACATAGATAGGGTGAATAGCCAAGGTCTTTTCCCTGGGGTGGGGGTGTCCAAAATTAGAGGGCATAGGTTTAAGGTGAGAGGGGAAAAATTTAAAAGCCATTAGCAAACTTGAAAATATTCAGCAAGCGCTGGCCATTTGCAGAATCACATTTTGTTTTGGTCTATGCAAGCGTTGGCTGTTGAATATGTCTATTACACGGTCTATTACAAACTACGAAAGGAATAGCACGTCCCAATCATCGGGATATACAACCTGGCAGTGCACTACCACTGAAACTCTCACACCACGTGACACAGCATCTTTTGAACTGATTAATGTCTGTTAGTTAGTGAGAAATACTACTTGTGCAGCAGCTGTATTGTAGCAACATGGAAAATGCTTGTTTAAACAGTTCAAATGGAGATACTGTGAGATTCCACGGTAATTTGAGGGACACTGGTACTTTTCAGGAATGAAAGTGGGCCCATTCATGAGTTTCCATGATTCACAGCAAACTGTTACTGTGCTGCAGGATGTTGCAAGTTGAGAAAGTAGTTTGCATTCCCCCTATTTGTAAGAACACCTCAGTCTTCTGGACTTACCTTGAGCATGACAGTTTCAAATCATAATCATTAACACTACTTTGTTTGGACAGCAGTGGGTTTCATTGTTTGCTGCTGCCTCTAGACACAGCTTCTGTCTCTTAGCTTTGTTCCTGTTTCAGCTAACATTCTCCAGTACCAATCTGAAACATTACTCAATCACTCTGTCCACTGATCCTCTGTAATTCCTGCATATGTACAATAACCTACAGAGACGTCAGATCTGATATCACCCAGCCCAAGGTCAAACGGGACGATCACCTGATATACATATGGGTTCTGTGAAGTAAAATCTCCCTCCAGGCTTCAGGATTCGAGCGACTTCAGCAAAGATTTCAAAACTGTGCACTGTAGCAGAGCTTCGCACGGTGCCTGACAGCACAAGGTCGAAGGTTGATTCCCTGTGGGCAGCTGGAAGCAGGCAGAACAGTCACTGAAACATGTGCAGCAACGCAGCAAGAGCAACAAACACAGCAGGAACCTGTGTCACCTGACACTCTAAAAGCTGTATCAACAATCACAACTACTTTCTCGGCATGGGCACTGCACACTGCTCAGCAGTCAACCTGAGCCAGCTACAAATTGTGGGAAAAACGCGGCTTCCCATTTCCAGAAAGCTATATATATACACATGAGAGACATGAAATCTGTTTTCATACACAGATGCCCCTGGAACAGGATTTCATCTGACTGCCTTCTCAATGCGTTCTACTTTGAATTGTGGGCATCACTAGGCAGGCCAACATTTCCTGCCCGAACTAATCCTGAACAGAAGGGTTACTTGCCAATTCAAAGGACATTTCAGTGGGATGGGGGGGACAGGGATGGCTGAGGGGTGACAGGGAGGGAAGGGATGAGGGAGGGAAGTACGGGGGAGGGAAGGAAGGGAGGGGGACGGGGGGAGGGATCCACAGGTTGGGCAGCCCATTAAAAAGAAAAGTTGTTGAACTTACAAATCTGCAGTCTGTCGATGTTTTCCATTGCCACATATCCCGATTGGCCTGTGACTGCCCGAATTTCTTGCACAAGTATGGTCTGTGAATCAGCAGTGGTTGAATAGTCCCAGATGACAGCCACATTGTGGCCTGTCCGTATGTCAAACTGATCCATGACAATCTCTGAGAACAACACATTTTGGATTAAATACTGCCAGCTATTGGGAGCACTCCGCGAGCCCTTCCTGACTTCAGCTCCCCTCCCACCCCTTCCCTCCCCCCCCTCCCTCTCTCCCCCCCCTTCCCCGTCCCCTTCCCCCTCACCCTCACCCTCACCCTCACCCTCACCCTCTTTCTTCCACCACCCCTCCTCTCTCTCCTCCACCTCCAATCTTTCTTTCCGTTTCTCTCTCTCTCTAACCTCTTACACACGCCTCCCCTCTCGGTCGCTCTGACGCAATCAGCCGGCGACACTGCTACTGACGTCACGGAGTGTCATGGCGGCGCTGTGGCGGCGCGGACTTCAGGGAGGACTAAAGATCGGTAATCCCGGGGCCGGGAATCTCTTCGGGATCGCGGGGGCGGCGGGTGGGGGCTGCCGCGGTCAGCGGGGCCTTGCTGCGACTCACCTCCGGCGGTGACCCGTCCTTTTCACCAACTGGACTGCGACAGGCCATTCGGCCCGGCGGGTCCATACTATATCCTCGCTGTGCAAACCGCTGCCGTCCTCTGTGACATTGAACTGTTTACTAGAGAAAAAAATAGGGGGGTTTTACTCTGTACCTGACTCCGTGCCGGGCCTGTCCCGGGATGGCCACAGCGTAGAGGAGACTAGAGTTTTATTTTCAAAGTGCAGAGACCACAAACAATTGCCGGAGGGAACCAACGGGAGAGAGGAACAGAGTTAACATTTCGAGTCCTGTGACCTTTTTGTCAGAATTAGAAGCAGCTAGGAAAAGTGTTATTTATACTGATGACAGTGTTGGGGGTGGGGGCGGTGTAGGAGAGAAAACGGAGTGAGCAGATCAATGGAGACAGGGAGAGAACCAAAAGGGTAGGCGGGCAAAGAAATTAATGATAGAATGCCAGATAAGAAATTGTTAACTGGGACTGGGATTAGGTAAAAGTGGATTGGCTGTGCCAAAGGAACCCATTTCAAGACGGCACCGGGATATGGAGTTAGATAAGAGACAACTAAGGAGATGTTTATGCTCTGATGTTAAACTTATTAAAGTTGCTAAACTTGATGTGAGTCCTCTTGAAGGCTGCGGCCACCCCCCCAACACACACACACACAATGTGGAAAATGAGGTGCTGTTATTCCAGCTTGCATTGAGCCTTGCTGGAGCACCACAGCAGGTCTGAGATAGAAATAAAAGCCATTCAAACTGCGGATGCTGTAAATCAGAAACAAAAACAGAAATTGCTGGAAAAACCTCAGCAGGTCTGGCAGCATCAGATCTAAGGAGGGGTCACCGGGCTCTGACTTCTCTTCACATATGCTGCCAGACCTGCTGAACTGTTCCTGCAATTTCTAGTTTTTGTTTCTGAGACAGAAATGTTGGCCAGGGATGCACAGGCATCTGGAAGCTTAGGGTCATTTTTGTAGACAGAATATAGACTTCCCAAAGCTGTCAACCAGTCTATTTCATCTCCCCAGTGGAGAGGATGTTGTATTTTGAGCAGCGAGTATAGTAAACTAGATTGAGTGAAATGTAGGTAAATCGTTGCTTCACCTGGATGGCATATCTGGGGCCTTGGATGGTGAGGAGACGGGAGGTACTTGGGTAGGTGTTTCACCTTCTGCGATTGCAAGAGAAGGTGCTGTGGGAGGTGTTGGGAGTTGCAGAAGACTGGACCAGTGTAAACAAGAGGGAATGAACTCTGCAGAATGCTGACAAGGGAGGAGAGGGGAATATGTGTTTGAGGTTTCATCCCACTGGCGGTGGTGGAAATGGTGGCTTATGGATGTGGAGGCTAGTGGGTGGAAAGTGAGGACTAAACGACCCTACTTCTGTTGTGAGAGGGAAGGGAAGGTGTGAGGGCAGAATATAAGAAATGGGTTGGTCATGGCTAAGGACCCTGCAATCATGGTAAAGAGAGCTTTACATTGTATCTAATCCCACGCTATACCTGTTGTGGAGCACTTGATGTGTATGATGGTTTTAATGTTCTTTGTTACGAAAGAATGAGGGAGCTGAAGCCCTTTTTCTCTGCCAACAGCTGGTCTGTACTCCCGTGATGTGGTGCGCAGGGGTCTGCGATCATCACTGTATTTGCGGGTGGCTGGTGAAGAGCAGGAGCCTAAGCAGCACCCCCAAAGCTCTCAGACATCCACAGCGGCTAAGGAATCCTACTCCAGGTACAGACAGCTGCTCATAGCCTAGTGTAGATCAGCCATATTCTACATCGTCCAGGATACCAACAACTTTACCTTCTACAGGACGTTAAAACAGCATCTTAACAGTTCACAAGAAAAACTAGTTCATGTGAAGCGTGACTTTCTGATGACGGATTACTCAATGGTTCAGTTACAGGAAGTATAAGAAATAATGAGACAATTCACAAAGCTCGAATTAAACAGAAATGTCTTTATTTGATTTGAACAAGAGGCAATTAATGCACCCATTTCTGTTGACCTTAAATACATTACAAAAAAGACATCCTTACGGTCACCAGTGAGCAGGCTGCTCCCAGTTGATTGTACCTCCAGCAGTCAAACTGACCAATTTGGCCATTCAAAGAATCATTCTTTGAAATATTTTTTTAATAGCTGTTCTTTCTACAGTACATGGGAGATATCATTGACAAGATCATCCTGTCCACTCAAAATCCACCTCACATCATCTTTGTCCAAACCATGGTATGAGATACTCCTCTGATAGGGTCCAATGTTTAAATCCTTTTAGGAATTTCCAGTTCCTCCTCACTGTTCAACGACCTTTATCGGTCCATTCCCGTTCATAGGGTAAGAAACCATTTCTGATCTCTTTAATTTCTGATCCCTGAATGTAACTTGAAGATTTGATACTATGTCCAGCTGACAAAGCACTTTATTTAAACCTTTTTTTATTTGTTCACGGGATTTCGGCATCACTGGCTGGTCCACGCTTTTGAGAAGGTGGCGGTGAGCTGCCTTTTGGAAGTACTGAAGTCTTTGGGATGCAGGTAACAAAACTGTTAGGCAGGGACTTCCAGGATTTTGACCCAGTGACATTAAAGGAACAGTGATGTATTTCTAAGGCAGGATGGTGAGTGGCTTGGATGGCAACTTGCAGCTGGTGGTGTTCCCATCTATCTGTTGCCTTTGTACTTCGAGATGGTAGTGGTTGTGGGTTTGGAAGTTGCTGTTTAAGGGTCTTTGGTGAATTACCTTTTGTAGATGGTCTTGTAGACTGCTACTGAGAATCAATGGTGGAGAGACTGAATGTTTGTGGATGTGGTGCCGATCAAGCAGGCTGCTTTGTCCTGGAAGGTGTCATGCTTCTCTAATGTTGTTAGAGTTGCACTCATCCAGGCATGTGGGGAATATTCCATCACACTTCTACTTTGTAGATGATGGACAGGCTTTGGGGAGTGAATCAGAGTGTTTTCCATCTGTTGGGTTGCTCCCACTGACATTACCTCTACGTCATTCCCTCTCCTCTGCATTTGCTAACTTCTCTGCATTTCAAAAGGAGATATTTTCATTCAGTTTCCATTTGGATTTTCCCTTGCAGCCTTCAAAGCACTTAAGACCAATTTTAAAAAAAAGCATTTTTCAAAACATTTAATCTGTTATTCTCTGACATAATGCCTCCTGGTTTTCATGAATATAAACCATCTTCTGAGTGCTGACTTGATATCGAAACACAGTACAGTTTTTCAGACACATCTGTTTATTAGTTGTAATCCACGTTACATCTTGTTATGAATTTTCAAGTATTTTAATGGGGACTCTGTCCTAAAACAATCAGAGGGCAGCTGAGAGTCATCACAGCAGAATTCTGGGAGACATCATCACAGTCATCACGACTGTAAAGCAGGTCAGGCAGAACCTGGTGTCAAGCTATAGTTAAACCCAAAACACTACATTCCCACTGTCACCCCATCCTTTGACTTAAAAAAAAAAGGGCTCTGTGAGGAGGACGACTGGCAAGGTAAAGGTTTACAAGGGAGCAGCCATTAACAGAGTAGGCCAGTGTTAGAGTGGGATCACTGAGGTCCTTGCTCAAGAGGTTTCGGCCTGAGGAGACTGAGCAGGGGTACAAGTAAGAGCAGGTACGGGCTCTTTAACTCTACTTTCTTTCTGTCTGGACCGATGGCAGTTAGGGCAATGGAATGCTCCTTTTGTAGAATGTGGGAGATCAGGGAGACTTCTAGTTTCCCTGGTGGCTACACCTGCAAGAAGTGCACCCAATGCATCTCCTGACAGACTGTGATAGGGAATGGGAGCTGGAGCTGGACATACTCAGAATCATCCAGGATTCAGAGAACATCATGGATAAGAGCTTTAGAGAAGTGGTCACTTCTAAGGTGCAGGCTGCAGGTAGCTGGGTGACCACCAGAAGAGATATGGGGCGAAAGCAGATAGTACAGGGTTCCTCTGTGGCATTTCCCCTCAATAACAGGTATACCACTTTGGATACTGTTTGGGATGTTGGCGCGTGACCTTTCAGGGGCTAGCAGCAGCAGCAGTCAGGTCAGTGGCACTGTGACCGACTCAGAGGGAAAGGTGCAGTCCAACAGAGTGATACTGATTGGAGCTCAATTGCGAGGGGGACAGACAGGAGATTCTGTGGCTGCAGAAGAGACACTAGGATAACACTGTGTGGAGCTGGAGGAACACAGCAGGTCAGGCAGCATCAGAGGATGGTGTGTTGCCTCCTGGGTGACAGGGTCAAGGATGTCTCTGAGCAGTTGCATAACATTCTGAAGGGGGTGGGTGAACAGCCAGAGGTCATTGTGCACATCGGTATAAATGACATAGGAAGACAAAGGGATGGGATCCTGCAAAATTGTTGTAGGGAGTTGGGTGAGAATTTAAAAAGCAGGATTTTAAGGGTAGTGATCTCTGGATTACTCCCAGTGCCACGTGCCAGTGAGGATAGAAATGGAAAGATAAGCCAGATGAATGCATGGCTGAGGAGCTGGTGTAGGGGACAGAGTTTTCAGTTCTTGGATCAATGAGATCTCTTTTGAGGTAAAGGTGACCTCTACAAGAGAGACAGGTTTCACTTGAACCGGACCAGGTCTAATATCCTTTTCGGGAGATTTGCTAGTGTTACCCGGCAGGGTTTAAACTAGTTTGGTGGGGTGGGGGAGGTTCTCTGAGTAAGAGAAGGGCCATCAATAAGCCAGGGAAAAATACATTAGCCATCGAGAGCAAGTTTACTATTCCGGATAGCCAGGAGCAACAGTAAAGGGATGGAAAGACTTCTGGTTTAAAGTGCATTTATTTCAACACATGAGGCCGGACTGGTAAGGAAGATAAGCTCATGAGCATGGATTGGCTTTGGGGACTGGGATATTATAACCATAACAGAAACATCGCTAAGAGAAGGGCAGGACTAGCAGCTCAATGTTCCAGGATACAGAAGCTACAGGTGTGACAGAAATGCAAGTAAGCAAGGAGGGGGGAGTTGCCCTTTTGATAAGGGAGGACATAACAACAGTGCTTAGGGAGGATATTCTTTCAGGGGTCATCAAATGAGGCCATATGGTTAGAACTTAGAAATAAAAAGGGGATGGCCACTCTGCTGGGACTGTATTATAGACCTCCAAATAGCCAGTGGGTACTAGAGAAGTAGATGTATAGAGACATTGCAGATACGTGCAGGATAAATAGAATAGTATTGATTGGAAATTTTAATTTCCTCTTTATTGACTGAGCCACCAGAGTGTACAAGGCCCGGATGGGGTGGAATTTGTCAAATGTGTCCAAGAAAGTTTCCTAAATC